TGGTTCTGAGGTGGACTCGTCGCCTCTTAATACAACGCTGACTCATAAGCAGAGTCCTGAAGACATACAGTCATACTTTACTCTGCAAGGAACGAGCAAATATTCATGAAAAGTCTTAAAATATTAATTACTGTTGTGATTTTGTTCATCTCGTGACTCATCCTCAACACCAAGGCTGGGAGCCGATTGTTGATTTAATCCTGTAATAATTATAATTAATGTGTAAAAGTGTGACTCTGACAGAGAAAAATATTTCATTCAGACACTCACTGTGCATTGCTATAGTATCGTACACTGCAAACATAAATCCATAAAAAACTATGAAAATCTGTCAGAAAGGTTCCAGAAGGAGGTAATAAAACAGTGGAACCTTCAATCACTATAAAAACAGTGAAAATAGCAGCAAATATCTGCACAGTGGCGACACTTTAAGCTGCTTTAAATACAATAAAAATACTTTTATTTTACAGTCAGACACTGTAAAGATGCAACACTATTTATAAAAGCACAGACTTTGGATGTGGATGTTATAATTTACAGTCAACAGGTAAATTATGCTTTTTTGTGATTTTACTGGATAATAACTTTAATTTTATCAAAACAGCAAATATTTGTAAAGTAATTTTTTTCTGCTGATTTAAATACAGTAAAAATTAGTGTAATTTTATGGTCAAACCTTTTTAAAAAAAATAACTTACTATTTATTTAAAAAATTTTAAAACTTAAAAAAAAATTTCACGTTTCCAGTTTACATTTACATTTTTTTTTCAGTGATTTTACTGTTTAATCTGTTCAAATTAACAAAACAGGTAAATCTGTAAATGAAAAACTAGAAATTTTAGTCCTTCATTTACATAATTCTTCCATCAAATAGCAGTAAATATCTGTAAAAGAACTATTTTCTGCCAATTTAACATTATTTGCATTTTTGTCCTGTTTTCTTAACATGTAAATTATTATCTTTTTTTTTTTAATTTTATTTTACTTGTTATTATTTGTTATGTAACAAAACAGGAAAAATCTGAAAAATTATAGTAAATTGTTAAAAACAAACTTCAGCGCTTCTAGTGGATCATTTCTTTCTCTTTACCTTCAATTTTTATCCAGACAGGTATTTTAAACAGGTGTTGTTTTGAGCAGCCTGTGGATTAAAGCCGCTACGTTCTCCCTCCACTGTACTGGTATATTATTATTGTAGTTAACATTTAAATCATTATTTAGTTTCTCTGGTTTTACTGCGTGTTAACTGTAATTTAGCTAAACAGCTAAAATCTGTAAATTAACAGTTAACTGTTGATTGTGTGTTTGTTTCCGGTGCAGCTGTTTGTTTGTTTGCGTCTCTTCGGCCGGCTCGCTGTGTTTCTGCTGTGTGTGAATGACAGGCATGAGTGGATCACGCTGCCATGACAGAGTCTATCGATCAGCGTGTCAGCGTCGGGGGAAAAGGTTAATCTGCACGATGCCAGCCCCGCGCCTCACCCCATCTCTGGCCTGCCCCGCATCCCGGCCCGGCCCGCTCCCTCTCTTATCAGGATTAGAGGAGTGTACAAAAGGGCAGCGTATTCCCAGGACACTCGCTGACCTTCAGTAATCCCACCAACCTGCCGCTCTGCTTATAATTAACATCAGGAACAAAGAGGAGAAATCCCCGGCCTGCCTCTGTAGCGCTCCTCAAAGTCTGAAACTAGAAAAGTTACAGTAGAGTTAAAGACTGAAAGCGCCGAGTCCTGCTTCAGTAACACGTTCTGAATGGCCAGGAGAGCCCGGCTGACATTCTGGAGGTGCTGACTGGCCTCGCCGCGCTCCCCAGCGCACGCAACCCAAACACGGCCCGGAGAAACATGCTGAACCAAGCAGGGGGAAAGGAAACCGTTCTCGGGACCAGCAGACACCGCCGTGGTGTGTGTGTGTGTGTGTGTGTGTGT